CCCTCCCCAGCTTCTTTGTATTGGGAGGTGTCACAAAAGGCTGAATGGGGAGATAGGACTTATGTCCCCTCAGGTGGTAATGAGCACCTCTCTCCCACACAATGTCAGTTGAGACCAGGTGGGGAGCCTAGTGTTCCAACCCTATTTACTGTTAATGTGGTGTTCCTCTCCTTCCTCGCTGGGGTGCTATCAGTTGAGGCTTAGTAGGAAGTGAGAACTTTCATGACTTCTCAGTAGTAACAAGCCCCCCAAGTCCCATCCTCCACAAAAGATGTAGTGTAGGTCACACTGGGAGCAGTAACGACATGTCCCTACCCTTTCTAGCCAGGGTGGAATCAACAGAAGCCTAGTAGTGAACATAAACTTCTACCCCCACCCAGTTTTAATTAGACCCTTCCCTCCTTTCTCCATCCCTTCATAAAAATTCTTCAAGTAATTACAAATACTCTTGAAACAAATGAAAAAATATAGTGTCAGTAAAGAAATAGGAAGCCTTGAAAAAGAAATGAAGATATAAAGAGCAAATTAAAATTTATAACCAAAATATACAAAATAACCCCAAAGAAAAAACCTCAATGGATAGACTCATAGCAAAACGGAGAGGACAGAGGGAAAATTCAGTGAACTTGAACAATAGGAACTATCCAATCTTTACAACAAAGAGGAAAGAGCCTGGAAAAAAATAAACAGAACCTTAGGGACTGTGGGACAAAATGGGATCTAACATTTGGGTCATCAGAGTCTCAGAAGCAGAGAGTGAGAGGGAGGGCTGGAAAGTATTAAAAAAATGATGACTAAAATTTTCCAAAATTTGGCAAAAATCACAAACCTATAGATTGAAAAAACTGAGCAAACCTAAATTGGGTTAAGCCTAAAGAAATTCATGCCAAAACATGTCATAGTTAATCTGAAAACAAAAGACAAAGGCTTGAAAGAGAGAAATTACACATTACTGATATGGGAAAAACAACTCAAATGACAGTGTATTTCTCGTCAGAAACTGTGAAGCGTGGAAGGAAGTGACAAAACATTCTTCAAGTGCTACAAGAACTGTTAACCAAGAAATCTATATACAGTGAAAATATATTTCAGGAATGAAGGGGAATTCAAGACATTCTCAGATGAAGGAAATCTAAGAGAATTTGTCACCAGCAGATCTACCATAAAAGAATGGCTAAAGAAAGTTCTCCAAACAGAAAGAAATGATTAAAGGACTCTTGGAACAACAAGAAGGAAGAAAGAACACAGAAAGATAAAAATATGGGTAAACGCAATACATTTTCCTTCTCTTGAGTTTATTAAATTGCTTGATGGTTGAAGCAAAAATCATAATACTCTTCAGTGTGGTTCTCAATGAATGTAGATAAAATATTGAACACAATTATATTATAAATAGGGGAGGTAAAGAGATAAAAAGGGACATAAGGCTTCTATAATTCATTCAAAATGTCAAACCACTTGACTTTGGTAAGATATATATATTTATAAAAGAGTTGGAGCAATCACTTAAAAAGCTATACGATGACTGTGTTAAAAAATTTTAGATAAGTTAAAATGGAATTCTAAAAAATTTTCAAGCAACCCAGAGGAAGGAAAGAGAAAGAAAACTAAAAAAAACCCAAACATCAAACAAAAACTAAAATAACAGGCTTAATCCCTAATACCAATAATTATATTAAATACACATGGTTTAAATATAAAACTTTGCAGACAGATTGGTAGGGGGTGGGGGGATGGTGTTGGGTGGGTTAGTGGGAGAACATGACTCAACTATGTAAATGTGCTCTATAATAAACTAACTTCAAATATAGTTATATAAGTAGGTTGAAAACAAAAGAAGGGAAGATATACAATGCAAATGTTCATCGAAAGAAGATGGAATGACTATCTCACTGAAACAAACTACAGAGCAAAGCAAACTACCAAGGACAGAGGGACATTGCATAATGATAAAAGGGTTAATCTACGAAGAAGACATAGCAATCTTAAATGCATATGTTCCAAACAATAAATATGTGAGGCAAAAACTGATAGAACTGAAAGGAAAAATAGACAAAACTACAATGATAGTTGGAAACTCTGACTTCTCTCTCTCAATAATTGATAGAACAATTGGAAGAAATGATTAACTTCTTCAAAGGATTGTAGTAAAGATTTAGGCAATGAATGCCCAAAATCTTCAACAGTCACCAGCAGGATATACCAAGTAAATTATAATAGACATAATCTCTGACTTTATAGAGCTTATGTCTAATGGGGAAGATAGATGAGTAAACAGTCATGTTGAAGTGTGGGTAAGTAAATTAATAAGGAAACTCAAATTTTAAATATTCTCTAGGCTTTTTACTGGAATGACATAAACTATTCCTTGTAATTTTTTCCTAATTATTTTCCTCATTTGATCATAGTTTACCTAATAAAAATAGGATAAGCTTGTGAGAAATTTCTTTGGTTTATTATTTTCCCATCAAAATTCTGGATTTATATTAGAAATAATATTAGAACATTTAAGTATCACTTTTTTATGTGGCAGATGCAGTTCTAAGCACTTTACATATATTGACTTATTTAGTGCTCATAATGACCAAATAGGTTGTTACTATTATTATCCCCATCCCATGGTACAGATGAAAAAAAGGAAGCACAGAGAGGTTAAGCAAGTTGCCAAAGAACACACAGTTATTAAGTCTGCAAATTTAGACGGACTGGCTCCAGATTTGCGCTCTTGACTCCCATGCTATCTTGCACAGACAGTTCTTCCATTACTGTAATATAAATTAGGATCCCTTTTATTTCTTTGCTTGCACTCTTGTTCATTTCTGCCTGAGCATTAGTGCCATTTTAAATGTTTAATGTCTGTCTCTCTCACTAGGCTGGTTCTCTTTGAGAACAGGAGCCATTTCATGCCATTTCCTTGCCATACACCCAATGCGCAACTCACAGTAGATACCCAGTAAATAATTGAGTGATTAATGCATACAATATGGCGAGGAAAATGTTTCCTTCATGAAGTAATGTCTCCATCTTGTGGAACTTTAGAATATTGTCATTCAAAACAAATCTTTTTTAACAAAGTGGGTTTTCACAGAATTGATTCTCAAGTGCCATTTCCCAGACTTGGATTAAAGCCTTTCTTGTTGCACTAGCCCTTTTGAGATTTTTAGCGCTATAGACATAGCATAGCCTATTCACAGCAGGCCTTTTGCCTACTAGTTTTGCTTGGTGAAATGAATTATGCAACTAGGTATGCAGCAGTTTATATCCAGAACTCATTTGATTCTACCTTGCTAAAAGGTTGAGCACGGGTCCATTAATAAATTCTTGGCTCAGAATGATCACTGAGGCACATCCAGCGCCCCTTCATACAGCTGTTGAAGGGTTCATACAGCTAGTGAGGGGCCCGCCACCAGTCCCCAGCTACCCCTTACATATTCCTCACCATGTGTGATGGCTAAAGTAGAAATTACAGAAATAGACTCTGCCCTGTCATCATACCCTAGGAGAGAGGGATAGATCATACTCCATTAGATATTTTAGGTTTTACTTGTATATATTCTGCACACATAATCTATAATAATACTTTAAAAATACAAATACGTTAAGAAGAATTACTTCCCTTATCTGCTATATCTATTACGGGCAGCTCATTTGATGAAGTTAGGAAACTTTGCTACTCAGACTAGAAAAGGACAAAAAGAAAATGATGTTTAAGCCAATCTTATATTAAATGCAGATTAACATGCAGAGGTCCTCCCTCTACCCCACTCCACCCCACTCCGCGTCGCCACTCTACTCCTTCAGTCTCGGTCCAGCTCTGATTCCGGTAACACTAAACCCTGAGTTGTGAGGCCGGAGGCCTACGGCGCAGCGGGAGCCGCTCCTTCCCCAGTTTACGCTCCCCGTCCAGAACTCTATGGTTTCAGGGCGGGGCTGGGAGGCCTGAGTTTGAAAACCGTGGCGGGAAGATGGCAGCGACACCTGTTACCCGGCCCTGTCTCTCTCGAGTAGGAGGACGTTGAAGCTATGGGTTTCTCTGAGCCGCCGAGGAGCGTTCGCGATGAATCTTCCGCGCTGGAGCGGGAAACGGCGGCGTTCAACGTCAGGCTCAGACCCCTTCTCGGGGAGCGGCGGTGACAGCAGTGACAGCCCGCTGCCCGCCTCGAGGCCGGTGCTGAGCCCGCCCCCGGGCCTCGCCCGCAGCCTGAAGGACCGTGGCCGGCCGCCGGCCGCAGCTGCAGGTACTCCCAGGCACTCTGGGGACGGCGGGCGAGCCGGGCAGCTCGGCCATGCCTCGCGTGTCGGCAGCTTGCGGGGAGCTTGCTTGTTTGCATGGCCTACTCGGCCTCTACTCCCCTTCTCAGTTTGTGACTTGGGCCTGGTGCCGCAGGTCGCTTATTCAGACCAGATGTGCTGTCAGCCCATTTTCAGCATCCTCCTGGTAGTAACATTAAAGTGGTTTCTGGGTCTTTCGTTGGCTAAATCTCATCACCTGTAGGGGGCTCGCGCCTAATAGTGCCGAGTAGTCCTTACAGACCCTACACTGGATGTGCTTTATAGCAGGATGTGCTTTTTGAATAGCCTCATTCCAACACCTAGGAACTCCAAAACACAGCGGAGGGTTAACTACTGAAGTTCATGCTAACTACAATGAAATAGCTGAAATCCAACTATTAATTACTTTTTTCTTTTATCCTGAAAGGGGAATGCAAGCAGACAGATTCTGACGATCAAATAGACAAACTGCTACTGGCAAATTGGGGACTTCCTGGAGCAGTTCTGGAGAAATATCACAGTTTTGGTGTAAAAAAGATGTTTGAATGGCAGGCAGAGTGCCTTTTGCTTGGAGGAGTCTTGGAAGGAAAGAATTTAGTCTATTCAGGTATTCAAATTTGTGCAAATTAGTTTCTTTACTATTTTAAAGACATGAATGTAAAGGATATATTATTGGAGTAGTTATGAATTTTTTTAGAAGGTGGACAAATGAGTGCGTTATAACTGGAGGAAGTCTTAAAATATATACAAAAAGTGGAATCTCCTCATATGCATATTTAAGTTATGCAAATTCCACTTTATGGATGGAGCAGGGGAAGCAAGAAAAATGAAGACTTAAAGAGAGATTCTGCCTGCCATTCCTCAGCAAACATGTCCCAGAGGGAATGTGCAATGGGAAATGTAAATCTGCTCTTCCCCCAGGTTATCTCAGTTGCTTTTCAGTGTGTGAACATTATATAGATTATTTGTTTATAAACTGTTCCTACTTGTTTGTATAGGGTTGTATATACAAAACCATAATGAAATATATTTTACAATAGACTTATATGGACTTTCAAGGGCAACTCTTACATATTTTTGATTCTACTGACTTTAGAAACTGATCATTTGGTAAGATACACTTCCTTTGTATCAATTTTCTTTGAAATTGTGAGTCATCCACATTTTTCATATGGCTGCAAAAAACAATTAGACAATTAACTTATCATTAGATTCAGGTTCAGGTTGTCGAGTCAGACTGGTTGGGCTTGAGAGCTGCCTCTAACACTGGCTGGGCAACCTTGCAGATTACTAGAGTATGAGAGAGTGCTTAGAACAAATCTTGGCGCATAGAAAGTGAACAGTAAATGCTAAGTACTGGCAGTTAGTGGCAATGGTAGAATAGCCTGACTGTTTGAATTAGTAAAACCAAAACTTGGGTGTCATTCATAACTCTGGTCACAACTCACATCTATTAATCACCAAATCCAGGGTCTATTACCCCAAATATCTTGATTCTGACTATTTCCCTCTGTTCTTAGGTTCATTACCTAGTTTACTATCATCTTTCTTTGAGATTATGCAATAGCCTTATAACTAGTTTATCTTTTCTCTATGGTCTTGCTCTGCTCCTGCATCCAAAGTGATCTTTATAATGTACAAATGGTCCTGTCACTCTTTTTCATAAAACTCTCTAGTCCCTTTGCATTGCCTTCAGGTTAAATTCTAAACTCCTTACATGGTGGAATTATGAACTTTTTTTCATGTGGCACATTCATATCTCTTCTCTCACTCTCCTTCTTGTTTCATGCTTCAGGCTTACTAAATGACATACTGTCTTCTGAACATACCAAACTTTCCTCCAGGCCTTTGCCCATGCTGTTTCTTCTGCTTGTCACTCCTTTCTTCTTCCCTTCCTTCTCGTAAGTATTGTTTTCTTCCCATAATTTCTTTACAGCTCCTTTCCCTCAACTTCTATCATAGTTCCTATCACACAATATTAAAGTTCATCTCCTTCCTCAAAGCAGGGCTTTTAACCATTCAGTTTAAAGGAAATGATCTTTTGATACAAGCTAGGTATTCAATACCATTTATTGCTGATAGAAAGATTTAATAATTCTCCATTTCAGCATGAGACTATTTAGAGAGCTCAAGTCAGGCATTTAAGGATATAAAGGTTTCAAATGTTATTTGGGATCTTAATGGATAGGTTTGGCTTAGGCTCTGTAGTTCCTGGATATGGTTTAAAACATTTATTCATGCATTATTATCAGATATTACCTCTTTTTTGTGATAAAAACCTTATGGAATAACATGTTTTAGCTCCTACAAGTGCTGGGAAGACTCTTGTTGCTGAATTGCTTATTTTGAAGCGGGTTTTGGAAATGCGAAAGAAAGCTTTGTTTATTCTACCCTTTGTCTCTGTGGCTAAAGAGAAGAAATACTATCTCCAGGTAATGTACTAAGTTTGAAATTATGATCAGTCCTATTATCAGCAACTGGCTTTACTCATTTAAAATAGGATTATAAAGTGGATAATAAAGTTTATTTTATTGCATCCCAATGTAGCTTTAAAAGTTGACCATTTATGAAAGGAACTTTTCATTATTACAAAAGGAGAAAGGGTCATCAAATCCAAAGAGTATTTGGTGAAAACTGTGTTAAAATTTATAAACTTTTTTTAAGAAGTAAGCAGAATGCTTCAATTAGCATATAAACCTGCAAATTAAGAATCATTTTTAACTGAATAGTTGGACTATACTGAAGCATGGAAAGCAAAGAATGTTTAAGGAAGCATATCCTATCCTAACTGAGTGCTGTGTAGGAACATTTAAGGGTTGAAGAACATGATCCATTGGTGCTTAGGTAAAGCTCTAGACCTCTGGTTTGTTCTTCTGTTCTGCAGAAATGAATAACATTTTTCATTTGTATGATACTGTTTTTTTTTTTTTAGGAACCATCTATGTGATACTAGTTTTTAAAGGCATTTTTATGAATGCCTTTCATTAAATAGAATAAATTTACTATTGTGATTTCTACAGTGGAAAATGTTCAGTTGGAGTGGCAAGATTAGTGTACTAGCACTGTAAAATATCTGCATCTTCAGGCCAGGCACATAATCTGCTGGACCTCACTTTTTCTCTTGGTAAAGTGAGGATGGTAACCCCAGTATTCTGGGTTAACTCAATTAAACACTCAGAAAGACATTATTGAGTGAGCAGCTCTGAAGATCCATGGTTCTATAAATATTTTTAACAGTTATTTCAGAAGCCAAATAGCCAACAAAGCTGGTCGTACATGGTAATATCCTCTCAACTGAGACAAAAGTAACAAAATGATGAAAGGACCCTTTTTATTGAGAAGGTATGTTAGTTAAAAGTCAAACTAAAAAAATTAACATCAAAGTCCCACTGCATTTGACTTCTGTAAAGTTTTCTTCCGTTGTATCAAAAAATTAGTGGGATAATGACAATATTTCTCTCATAAAGTATAAGTTTGTTCTTAAAAGTGTAACATGAGCATTAAAGAAAGAGCTGGCTTCTTATTTATTAGATTAAAAGTATTTGTACTTAAGGTAGTTTTTCCCCAATTTTTAATTTTTATAAATAGTTCTTAGAACTGCTTTGTCAAGTGCTACCACTAAAATGGCATACCAATTTTATTCGACTCTGTGTTAACAGAAAATCTCTGTAGTGAGTTTTGTCAGTTCTAAACTTCATGTGTTTAACAGATTATTTTAAAAAGAATCAGTGTGTCCTGGCCAGGAACAACTAATAGTAATCTGATAAATGTCTTTAGATACTTTTATGTCTATGTTCTGGAATAGAACCAATCTATAACTCATGTATATTAAATATTTTCACCTGTATTATTCCTTTTTACTTAATTCAGAGTCTATTTCAGGAAGTAGGAATAACAGTAGCTGGTTATATGGGCAGTACCTCTTCAAGAGAGCGCTTCTCTTCCATGGATGTTGCTGTCTGCACAATTGAGAGAGCCAATAGTTTGATCAATCGCCTAATAGAGGAAAATAAGATGGATCTATTAGGTAAGAAAATTAGGAAATGAGCAGATACTTTCTGTTGCTATTTTTTGATGTAGTGGGGTGGTGCCATTGTGATTTCTGTATGTCCCATGTATTTTTTTTTGTATTGTCTGTCATGTATTTCTATAGGTGGGAATTGAAGTTTGTAATGTCAGGAACTCTGTGTGGAAAAAGAAAAAAAAGGTTTTGTGTCCTGCTGTCATTATTGACTCTACTTCCTTGTATGTTCGCACTTTACAAAACAGGATATTCTTGAGCCCTAAGTCATTTTTCATTGCTTCTTTCCTATCTAAGCTTTACCAAGAAGAGAAAGAAACATTCTGGGGCTGGGTCTACCATATTCCCAATTAGTGTATATGTGTATTCATTATATTCCTGTGCTATGATATCTACATTAAGTCTGTACTCAGAGACTAACAGGGAAAGGGTAGGGAGCTATATTTGACACTGTATTTGAGCTTGGGACTCTAGGAAGATTTCCTACTTACTAAGTAACTTTTTTTTTTTAACTACTTAAGTGAGCCCACTATGTAAAGGTAGCCATAGAAAGAGAATGGTTGTAACAGCAACAGAAACATCAGGAATATCAGTTAGCTACTCATTAAGATCCTAGTGAACTTAGATGGTAAAGTTGAGGTAGGGTAGTTCTGGAGAGTGAAATCATAGATTAGTAAGACGTGGGCTTTACTCTATAAAGCTTGGAGAGAGCAATCACATTCATCAATTTGTATTATAATTGTCTTATTACTTGTGAGTCCATCGGACTTTATCTTGAGGATTGCAATAGGATCTTAATTGTTATATTCAATATACCTAGCACAGTATCTGGCACACTAGGTAAAATAAATCTTTTTTGGGTGAATGGCTCAATGAATAAGTGCTCAAATAACTCATCATACACTATGATTTGGAGAGAGTTTACTGATGAGCAAAAAGAGCATCATGTGTTATTAGATAATAGTCTGAAAGGTCTTCATTTCGGAGGAGGATTTGTCGGAGACGACCAATGTACATAGAAACTATGACATGAAAACATTTAAAGAAGGCACTGGGTGATACTAAATTTTTAGTAATTCTTGAACACTCTTCCAAGTGCATAGACTGGTTTGGTTTTCTAAAAAGCAGAGAAGGAGAATAGGGTCATGTTTATGTTTTATAGTGTGATGACTCATTAGTCTACCATAATCAAATAGAATTATCCCTTAAAAATCATTACTTTCTTCTTGATCTAATTCTTCTTTTCTAAGCAACTTTCTAACATCAGTATAGTTGCCCTGTTTTCCCCATACAAAAATTAATATACTGAATAACTGTCATAGATATATTTGATAGCTCATTGTACATGTAGTTTTACAAGTTGCTAATTAAGAAGTGTCTGAGTAACGAGAGGCAGTTTTCTCTGAGTTATCCGTGAGTTAGCTAATCATTGATTTTTAGATCCAGAATACATTGTAGTTGAACTACTTATGATAACTGAAATATCTTAGAAAAGAATTGTCTGTTATGTGGAATGTGATTTTTGTTCTGTGGTTAGAAATTTGTATCACCTGCAGTATGTTGTAGTGACAGCTACTTACTATATAAGATGTAAGATATTGAGTCTTTTGAAGTTCTTTGAATTGTGAAATTTTGTAAAACCTAGTATCTGGAAAATATCTTTAGGAATGGTGGTTGTGGATGAATTGCATATGTTGGGAGACTCTCACCGAGGGTATCTGCTGGAACTTTTGCTGACCAAGATCTGCTATATTACTCAGAAATCAGCATCTTGGTGAGTAACTGAAATAACTGAGTTCCTGAGATTTCAAACACTGTTGAGGAAGTTTCTGCAAAAGTGCATAATAAATATAAGTTAAATAAAGAAGGGGAGTAGTACTTATTTAGAACAAACTCATATACAGCAGTTTATTTTTATTCCAAAACAAGTGTTTAAGATTGAGAGTGATTTTAGGTTATTTTGTAAACATCCTTTAATTTGTGACTGCTCACCACTTTTATGATAGAATTTTTAAAATCCAGTTTTTTTTATATTTAGTGCATATCTCAAATATGCTGTTAACAAATACATATTGTTTCAATTTAAATAAATGTGAAAGAAAAGGTTGAGGGTGCAGTGTAACAGTGGTGGAAAGTAGAGGCTCTGAAATCAGATGCCTCAGGTTTGAGTTCTGTTGGGTAAATTACTTGTCCTCTTTGAGTCTCAGTTTCCACTTCTGTGGATTGGGGACAATGCACCTATAGGTTATGGTGAGGATTAAATGGACTAGAAAATGTAAAGCAAATACCTGGAGGACAGCAAGTGCTCAATGAATGTTAACTAGTAGTGTTATCTAAGTAAAGATGTTGATATAACTAAAGCCACATAACAGATTTAAAAGTCTTTTGTTAGAGTTTTAACACTGTGCCTGAGTCTTCTCCCTCAGTCTCTTGATAGAGAAGACAATATGATTTCATAATCTCTGAAGTCCCAGCATTAGAATAAGCACTTCATGCTTTTTCTCTAAATGAATGATCATGTACCTTAATTTAGAGTTTGGAAAATAAAGTCACTGAATATACAGTTCTGTTTCTCTAATTTCTTTTCAGGCCTTACAAGATCAGGGATCTTTCTCTGCATTTTTTTTATTTTTTAATTTTTTTATTTTGGTATCATTAATCTACAATTACATGAGGAACATTATGTTGACTAGACCACCCCCATCACCAAGCCCCCCACCCCCACATACCCCACCATAGTCACTGTCCATCAGTGTAGCAAGATGCTGTAGAATCACTACTTGTCTTCTCTGTGTTGTACAGCCCTCCCCGTACCACACCCCCACCTTATACATGCTAACCATAATGCCCCCTTTCTTTTTTCCCCAAAGCCAGTTTCTGTATTTGTTAGTTATACATCTTAAGTAGTCAAGACTAATTTTGAAAAAAATAGTATTTATTCACCTCCATCTCTCAGAGGCAACTACTTTCAACTCTCATAGATTTTTAAGAAGTTTACTTACAATGATCTCTAAACACAGCTGCTTGAGTCTTTATTGTACACGTTATATATTGACTTTTTACCCTAGAAGATGAAGAATAGCTCTTTTTTTAATATTCTTTACTCACTCCACCCAATCTCACCCCCCACATCTGCCCCAGTCTCTCTTTATCTTCTTATCAGCTTCTTGTTCTCCAAATAGTTATATCATAATTTTGCATAGGTCACTATTCTGTGTCACACTATTATCACTATATAAATGCCATTGTCAACTGAACCATGTAGTACATTATGATTACTTTTACTTTTCAAATGACTTTATTTTCTCTGAAATTGATAAATGTCTTTTTCTGTTTGATGGTTTGGTTTTCTATGTACTTATCACTGATTTATCCTCAGCCTCTTCCCCACTGTGCAAATCTCCACCCTGTGTATTCTAACAAATTTGCTAGTTTATCAGATTCATCTTCTTGAAAGAAAACAAAATCATTAATTAGAAAAGATATACAGAGTCCTATGTTTGTCACAGCATTATTTTCAATAGACAAAATATGGAAGCAACTTAAATATACATTGGTAGATGAATAGATAAAGATGTTTAATGTACAATGTACATCAGATGTACAATGGAATATTAGCCATAAGAAAGAATGAAATCTTGCCATTTGTGACAATGTGGATGGACCTAGAGCATACTATGCTAAGTGAAATAAATCAGAGAAAGACAAATACCATATGATTTCACCTGTATGTTTAACCTAAAAAACAAAACAACTGAACAAACAAAACAGAAATAGACTCACAGACACTGAGAACAGTAGGTTGCTGTAGAGGAGAGGGAAGAGAAGATAGGTGAAATAGGTGAAGGGGAAAACAATTAGAATGCTTGATATCTTGATCTGAGTGGTGGTTACATGAATGTATACACATATGAAAAATCATTGAGATATACACAAAGATTTATGCATTTGTATTATATGTACCCATTAAAAAAAAATCAGTTGCCATAAACAAACACATTGATCTCCCTGAAGTGTCTCCTAAAACCTGAGTTGTTCTAATCTGGATATGTGGTTAATCTCTGTATGTGCTGCACAGCAGTTATCCTGGGATCTCTCTTTATCATTATCATTCATTCCCATTACTTTTTGCTTGAGTCAGAATCCCCTTTTTTTGGGACCACATGTCTTTCTCTTAATTTACTGCCTCTTTTTTGTGGGGATATCTTCTAGGAAGTTCTACTTTATTTGGGTATACGGGCTATTATGGGTATAAATTTTTTAAATATTCATGTCTGAAAATAACTTACAGTTATTTCATAGATTGTTCAGGTATACAAGTCAAGATTTTAAATATTCCATTAGAATTTCAAAACATTACTTTATTTACCCATTACTATTGAGAAATCTAATACCATGGTGACCCTTCATCCTCTATATAAAAAATTTTAATTCTGAGGGTTTTTAGGAGCTCCTTTTCTTCTTTAATTCTTCACATTTATTGAAATCCAACATTGATGTGTCTATTTTCATTCATTTTTCTGGGTACTCAATAGATTCTTTCAATCTGGAGCTCATTCAGTTCAGGAAAATTTTAACAGATGCAATATGAGAAAACATGTAGATTATCATCTATATCCCAAATCAGTAGGGATATAGAAAATATGACTAATGCAATTAACAAATTTGACCCAATGGGTCTATGTAGAACAGTTATCAAATAAAAGCAGAATATGTATGCTTTTCAGTTATACATGGAACATTTACCAAAAATATGTGCTGGGCCATAAAGCAACATATTTTAACAGATTTAAGTCATTTAAAATACAGTCTCTGGCAATTGTGGAATTAATCTAGAAATGAGTATAGGAATAACATAACTAGTAAATGCCCAAATGTTTGGAAATGAACAAATACAACTTGACTCATTTTGGGGTCAAAAAAGTAATAACAGTAGAAAGTGTAAGATAGTTTGAACTGAAAGTATAATAAAAGTGTCTCCTAACAAAACTAGTGAAATGTAGCTAAAATTGTTTTTAAAGAGAAATTGATAGTATTATATATATATATATAATACATAATTTAACAATATATATATTGTTAAAAATAGAGACTGAAATGTTAATCAATTGTCCATCTCAAGAGTTTAGAAAAAGAATAGTAAAATAATGCCACTGAGAGTAGAAGGAAAGAAATAATAAAGACAAGAGCAAATACTAATGAAAGGAAAGTCATTAGAATATTAAAATTTTTCTACAAATCAGTAAGAAAAAACACAACTCAGTATATAAGTGGGCAAGAAGTTTGAACAGGCATTTATAAGTTGGTATCCAAATGGTCCATAACATGAAATGGTGTTTAATCTCCTTAGTTATCAAAGAAATGTAAATAACCTTGTCAAAGAGATTACCATACACTTTCCAAAATGGCTAACATTAAAAAAATTGACAATACTAAGTGGTGACAAGGATGTGAAACAATAAAACACAGGTGGATTGTGGGGGTGCTGCTAAAATAGTTTGACATTATCTAATAAAATTGAAGATAATCTATGATCAGTAATTTTACTCCTAGGTATATACCTTAAAGAAATGTATAAATGTATATACCAAAGGACTTAACCAAGAGTATTATTAGCAGCACTATTTGTAATTAAACTATGTATCTTTTAACATCATTTTCATTTGTTTTTCACAGCCAAGCAGATTCAGCCAGTCCTCTGTCTAATGCTGTGCAGATCGTCGGCATGAGTGCTACTCTTCCTAATTTGGAGCTTGTGGCTTCCTGGTTGAATGCTGAACTCTACCATACTGACTTTCGTCCTATACCACTGTTGGAGTCAGTAAAAATTGGAAATTCCATATATGACTCTTCAATGAAGTTTGTTAGGGAATTTCAACCCATGTTACAAGTGAAAGTAAGTCAATATTTTTTATATCACTACTATCAGGGCTTTGTGTTTGATTGCATTTTCTCGCAAGATGTTAACAGCGTAAACAAGGCTGGAAAGTAGTTGAATATGTATTACATATCCATTAGAAGGATTATTATTATTAAGCTAATGGTTTCATCTTAAAGAACTGATGGTGATGGTAAGAAAGGAAATGTAGTTGTCCCTTAAATATAAATGATTATTACTTCCTGTAAGTTTAAGTAATATAAAATAACACCTTATTTTATAGATCATTTTTTTTAACTGTGAAAAGATTTTCTTATGGCTTAGTTTACACTAAACACTAATGTGGAAAATTAACCTTTTGTTAAATATTAAGTATAATATATAGTATAGAGTGGAAAAAACATCATTTTGGAGTCAGACAAACCTACCTTTGTTACTTAATAGAGATATTTGATATGGCTACAATACTAGTTGAATCTTAAATCTACTCTGAAAGTAGTCTCTTCTATAAAATGGAATGTAATATTTATCTTCAGTGTTGTAAGAATGAAATACGGTTTCTAAAAATTGTCTAGTGTCTGGAAAGTGCTTGATAAATATGGTAAATTCCCTCCCATACCCCTAAGTACACTTAAAAAGTTTAGTTCACAGTATTTTTCTAAATCGTACTCTTTAATCCTGAGGTTAAAGAACTGACTCGACTCATTATCCGTGGAGTGAGACATCTATTTTTTTTTTATTATTAAGGTATCATTGATACACAATCTTATGAAGGTTTCACATGAACAACATTGTGGTTATAACATCCACCCATATTATTAAGTCCCCCCCACACACCCCAGTATAGTCACTGTCCATCAGCTTAGTGAGATGCTATATAGTCACTACTTGTCTTCTTTGTGCTATACTGCCTTCCCCGTGTGCTCATCATAATGGCCCTTAATCCCTTCTCCCTCCCTCCTCGCCCACCTTCCCAACCCCTTCCCTTTGGTAACCACTAGTCCCTTCTTGGAAGTGAGACATCTATTTTTATGTAGAGCTGTGTCTATGAATCATAGCTGGAAATAAGACTAAATCATGTATTTCAGTACCATCATAAGTATGCATTTGTAGCCTCTGTATGCCTGGTTTAGAATCTTATGTAGTTGCTTTGCTCTGTACCCCAAATTTCACCTATTTTGTTTTGGTTACCTCAGTAAATACATGTATAAACAAATTCATTTACTTGCCTGTTAATCTTTTTCTTTTGTTATCATGTCTAATACTCTACCCTATTTGAATCATTTTTCAACTCTTATTATTGACATGGCTTCCTAATTGATGTCTCTGCTTCCTCCCTTGTCCCCTTTAGTCTGTGCTGAAATCAGGAGTTAGTGATCTGTTTAAAATGAACATCAGATCATGTAACCATTCTTTTCAAAAATTTGCAGTGGCTCCCTGCTTCATTTAGAATGAAAGCCAATGTCTGTATAGTAGCCTGCAAGGCCCTATATGATCTGCCTCCATACTCTTAGTGACCTCACCTACTATATTCCCATTCACTCCCTCCATGGCCAGGAGTCTTTTTGCTGTTCCATACTATGCCAGGAACTTCCCATCTCAGGTTCTATTTGGAATACATCTCTCCCAGGCATCAGTGTGGTTTACTCTTTTCCTGTGGACTTTTACTCAAATGTCACTTTCTAAGACCTTCCTTGGTCATCTTGTCTAAACTACAGTGTCCTCCTATTTATGGTCCCTATTTTCTGTTTTATTTTTCCACCTTGCACTTTTTAAACTTGAGCATATGTGTTTTACTTAACTTGTTTTTTATCTGTCTCTCCATACTAGAGTAGAAGCACTCTGAGGGCAGAGCTTTTTTTCTGCTTTGTTCTCAAACCCCAGTGCCTAGAACAGTATTTGGCACATACTAAACATTTAATGATTGAAGGGATGAACAAATTAATTAATCCCCAGTTACATACACTGACCTTACAGTTTGGAGAACTCACTGGGCCACCACCAGGCTTTCACATTTGCTCTTTTTTTGCCTGAAATGTTTCCTCTGTCCCCCAGTTACCTTTCATTGAGATAATGCCCCCCTTCCTTCACATCTCATCTCATTTTTTCAGGGAAACCTTTCTTTCAGATCTTTCTGTCAAATATGAGCTTCAAAACACCATTAAACTCTTTTATAATACACCTAATGATTGTGTTTTACATTTGTTTGTTTAGTGCTTTAATGTGTTTTCCCAGTGAAACCTAAACTCCTTGAAGATAGGACCTTGACTTTCTTCTACTCACATTATAGCCCCTTTCCCTGAGAGCTGGTGGTCAGTAAATATTAGTTGAATGAATAGAAAATATTTCCTTCTCGCCCTGCATCATAAAGAGGTTTGTTTCTTTTTTTCTCTTCTTGTTTTGTTTTCTCTTTATTTTATTCCTGACTTCATAATGATTTTTTTATGCCTTTGAGTAGAAAGCAAAATGAGTGACTTTCAACTGATATGAAGTGTTTTAGAAGTATCACAAAAGTGCTATTTCTTTTTCTTTTGTAGGGAGATGAGGACCATGTTGTTAGTTTATGTTATGAGACCATTTGTGATAACCATTCAGTGTTACTTTTTTGTCCATCAAAGAAATGGTGTGAGAAGCTAGCTGATATCATTGCCCATGAGTTTTACAGTCTACACCATCAAGCTGAGAGTAAGTTACTGTTGGAAATGATAGCCTCCATTCTTAGTATGTTTCCTTGAAAGTAATGTTAACAATTATGTCAGCAAAGTATGGTGCCATTCCATCATTGCACCCACCTGCCCAATGGACACTTCTTTATAAGACTGTGCTAATCCTCTCCTTATCTCATTGTAGACAATGTCTACACACATTCAGGCTAATCTTCACATTTTTAGAATACTGGACTTATAAGGTATATACTGTGTCTTCATTTGGGATCTATGGGCTTTAAGAGGTTGATATTTGAAGTCCCTAAAGCATATATAAAACTTCACATATACACATTTTTCTGGGGAAAGCAGATGGCATATCTTTATATTTCTGAACTCTAACTCTAAAAAGAAACACACACACACACACACACACACACACACACACACACACACACACACACATATATACACACACACCCATATGTATTTTAAAATCATTTTGAAGTATAATTTATATATGTAAGGAAATGTACCCATTTGAATTGTATAATTTAATGAATATTAACAAATGTATATACCTGTTTAATCCCCACTATAATGAACATATAGAACATTTTTATCATCCTAAAATGTTCTCTTTGGCTGTCAATCTCTTTTCTCTATTCCCAGCTCCAGGCAACCACTGATCTTTCTGTTACTCTAGATCAGCTGTGCCCTTTCTAAGAATTTCATATAAATGAAGTCATGTAGTATATATATGTCTTTTGTATTTGGCTTCTTTCACTTAGCATGATATTTGTAAGATTCATGTAGGTGGTTGTTAATTTATTGATTTTTTCCTTTTTTATTGCTGAGTAGTGATCTAGTGTATGGCCATGACCTTTAGTATATATTGTACCTGATTCTAGGATGAGCACTGTTTCCTTGCCACTGTCACTAGCCCGTGGTCCCATAAGGTTCATGATAAGTGGAGGAAAGACGGACACCAATTCTGGTCACAGAATATCAGGATATCATGCTGATGGCATCATGAGGACGGGTGATGGGTATTTCAAGCCTAGCTTCAGCAAGGAGTTTGTATTGGGCACGCTCTGGTCCAGCATCATGATAGCTCTTCTGATTCCCTCTTGATACTTCTGTATTATGTCAACTTATATTACTTATGTTGTTGATAACTCATATTCCTTACAACCAGAAACATGTCTATTATTTTCCTTGCTTGAGGTTCTGTTATTTTGATTTATAAAACTGGGTCCCAAAACCCAGTGAGTGCTTGGACTGGAGCCTAGGTCATGATGAAACTTTCACCAGAAAAGTAAAGACAAGGCAGCACATTTTTCATAACGCTGGAGTTTAAATTCTGGAATTATCCCTACTCATTAAAAAAAATTTTTTGAAGACATTTTAAAAAATAATTTTTCTTTTGAAATAAAAATATTGATTAATGGTAATTAAAAATTTTTTGAATTGTCCTTAGCATAATAAAACACTGGTAACCCTCTGTGAGTCCTCAAAATTAAAAACAAAGTTTTTACCTAAAAGTTTTAATTTTACCTAAAAAATTAAAAATAGGTTAAATATAAGATATAGTAAAAATATATCTTATGAGAAGCTTTACTAGTTCAGAAATCCTAAAGTGGGAAATTCTTTAAGAAAACATAGTTTCCGCATCTAAGAATGTTAAGGTCCTACATGGGCAGAAGTTTACAGAGAGGCAAAAACAGCAGGTATTAATTAATGTGATTAATTACCACATTGGTGCCAAAGAGGCTAGAAAAATTGCCACACGAAACTAGGCTTTTAGATAATTCTGACACTGCTGGTTGGCAGGACACGCTTTGAGTAAGGATTTTGATATTTAGGCTTTGCGTGGTAGTCAGTGTCTGTAATCATCTGCTTCCTTCAGCTGTTCCTTTGATCCTCTCCTGTGGGCTTGGTTTTCCCCTAATATAGTGTTTCCTAAACTTTAGTGTATGTTAGAATTGCCTGGGGAGATGTAAAAATTTTTCATGTCCAGGTTGTACCCTATTACATCACAATGTCCTGTGAGAACCAGGCATCAGTAGTTTTAAAAGATCTCCAGGTGATTATTATATGTAGTAGTTTCAGAACCATTGCCCCAGTACTTAGTTCTGACACAAGTTAGGCAGATAGCATGGAAAGAGGTCCAGCACTTAAAGAGGGCCAGGTGAAGTGTTGATAATTTTTGTGTTGACAGGATCGGTTAGATCATCTGAACTTCCACCAGTGATACTGGAACAAAAGGGCCTCTTAGAAGTAATGGATCAGTTAAAACGTTCACCTTCAGGACTGGACTCTGTATTACAAAAGACTGTACCATGGGGAGTAGCATTTCATCATGCAGGTATCCATAATTATAACCTTTTACTAAGAGGCCCCCTCCAAAAAGAGGCCCCTTGATTTCACTTTTATATTTGTATGTGTTTGATTTCTTTCTAACTACACTTAATACTCTTAGATTTCATTTTGAGAAATTGTATGATTAAGATTAAACAAAAGTAAAACAAAGATGTGTAGGTTTACTTATCTGTGTATATATATATATATCTATACAGTGTATATATATAGCTTTTTGTATCATTGAGGAAGCAAATTCTAAAATTGTTACCTTTCTGTACTTTGGTTCCTAAAATTTAGGTTACAGTGGTACTTGGTATCCTAATTTTATGACACTCTGAGTGTCTCCTTTTATCTCAAGGGGTATTGAAATATTTTCACAAATATATTGAAATGAATTTTAGAAATTGTCATATTGTACTTTTAGAGGGCTACAATTGTTTTAAAAATCAGATTGTCAAAATTGCAAGGATTATGATGCTCACTGAATTAAATAACTTTTTTCAGGTAGAGGTCTGTCAATGGTCATATGTGCTAAGAATATGATTAATAATATATACTTCCTAAGATTAGGAATTTAAACCTTTTCAATTTACTTAAAGTCATGTATATATAAAAATGTTAAGCATATATATATATATATACACACAAACATACAAAAGAATATTTTCATTGTATATAACACGGTGTACAGTACACTAATAAAATGAATACTTGTGGATCCACCACTTAAATCAATACTTTGGATTGTTTCAATAAAATAAAAAATAAGTCAGATAAGTATATATTCTGTATGTTTTCATTTACTCGTGTATTTATTCTTCAGACATTTATTTATGTCAAAACTGTGCCTAACCACTGTGTTGGACAGGCCTGAAGATGCTGTGATGAATAAGGCATCTCTACCCTCAAGGAGTAAACTGTATAGAACAGGGATCAACAAACTACAGTCTGATGGTCAAATTCAACCCACCATCTGTTTTTGCAAGTAAAGTTTTATTATTGGAACACAGTCATGCCCATTTGTTCTGTGGCTGCTTTCAAGTGACAGTGGTAGGGATGAGTAGTTGCAACAGAGACTGTCCTGCAAAGTCTAAAATATTTACACAAAAGTTTGCCAACCCCTGGTCTAGAAGATGAGATAGAAGTATACTAGGGTGGCAGATTATATTCTTAAATAGATGGTTTGTGGTGACTTCTCTGCTTACAGTCTTAACAATACTTTGAAAAAAAAATCTTTTGAGACTTGTAAGAGATTCTCAGCTCCTAAGTGATCAAGTACAGTATTTTCATTACATGTTAATAAATACATGTTTTTGTAACTTCCCTTTGTTAGGTCTTACTTTTGAGGAGAGGGATATCATTGAAGGAGCCTTTCGTCAAGGTCAGATTCGTGTCTTAGCAGCAACTTCTACTCTTTCATCTGGGGTGAATTTACCTGCACGTCGTGTAATTATTCGGACTCCTATTTTCAGTGGTCGGCCTCTAGATATTCTTACTTATAAGCAGATGGTTGGTCGTGCTGGTAGGAAAGGAGTAGACACAGTAGGTAAGTGAGATTGAATTTAATTGTTTTATTATTATTATTATTTTTTATTATCAAATGTATATCACAGTGGTTCAGTCCCCTTTCCCTTCCTCCCTCCCCCACCCACTCCCCTTCCCCTTGGTAACCACTAGTCACTTCTCAGTGTCTATGAGTCTAATGCTGTTTTGTATCTTCTGTTTTACTTTGTTTTTATACTCCACAAATAAGTGAAATAATATAGTATTTGTCTTTCTCCGCCTGACTTATTTCACTGATCATAATACCCTCCAGATCCATCCATGTTGTTGCAAATGGCAGGATTTCTTTTCTTTTTATGGCTGGATAATATTCCATTGTGTGTATGTACCACATATTCTTTATCCATTCATCTGTTGGTGGACATTTATGTTGCTTTCATGTCTTGGCTATTGCAAACAGTGTGGTGATAAACATAGGGGTGCACATACCATTTTGAATCAGGGATTTTGTTTTCTTCGGGTAAATTCCTAGGAGTGGAATTACTGGGTCTGAAGTTAATTGTAATAGCATTGCTGAAGGACAGTGTCAGTCTACTTGAAATTTGACTAGTGCCTGCCAATGCATTTCTTATCTTACCCAAAGCACTAATGTCATCCTTTTGGATTTACTTAATATTTATAATGATTGTAAGTTATAATTTTCATATATCATCAACCGCTGATTTTCTAATATAGAATTAAGATTTTCTTTTGTATAATATATAATGAAATGATTTGGTGTTGTGTTTATCAAGATGACTTTTAATATCCAATATAGTCTATAATACTATTTAGTGTTAATGAAGGAAGCAATTTTCATGGCTATTAGTACTGGTTACGCAACTGGCCTAAGAAAGGGTTCAAATAGGAATTCTGAGTGCTAAGAAGCATTCTGACACTTTGGGAATATGAACGTTACTAAAAAAACAAAAACAACAAAATTAACAAAAAGAAACAAAATTGGTGTTGGCTCTGAAGACATCTTTTCAGTTTCATATCTTGTATCAGCAAATAATGATAATATTATCAGCAATCCAAACAAAAGTTTTGTCTTAAGCAGTGAGAAAGAGGCTTGTTTGAATTAAATTATTAAGATAGAAGCATATATTATTTCCAACCAGCTACCTTATTCTAGGCATGACAAAATTGTTATGTGTCTTCTAACATTAAAGAATCTTGGGAGGAACATTCTCTGTCATTTCATCTTCTCTAGGATGTAGTTTTTTGACACCAATATTATGCCCTATGTCAAATAAACAGCAAACAGTTCTGTGGCTACTAAAGAGTAATTAAGATATCCAAGAGAAAAGGGAAAGTCAGTGTAAAAAGAGGTGGGATATTCTGGGCAGAAAAAGCTGTATAGTGTACTGAGGAAGTGACTTTTAAAATAACAACTTGTTTGTCATATGAAGTCCTCAGACGCAGTTGATGCTCACTATTAGTGGATTTCATATATGTGAATTTGCCTACTTACTAGAATTTACTCAAACTCTCAGATCAATCTTGTGGGGCTTTCATAGACATGTGCACAGCAATGAAAAATTTGAGTCTCTGGAAGCACACATTCCCTACGGATGTTGAATCAGGTGACACTCTCCCTTCTTGTTTTAGCTCTCATACTGTAAACAAGTTCTGCTTCCTAGTCTATGTAGTGCCACATTTTTCACATTTTTGTACTTTTTGTTGGTGATCTGACTTTAAAATGACTCCCAAGCATGGTGCTGAAGTGCAAGAAGGCTGTGGTGTGCCCTACAGATAAAATAAGTGTTAGATAAGCTTTGGTCAGCCCTGAGATATAATATTGTTGGTTGTGAATTTAATGTTAATGAATCAACACTATATATTAAATAAACTGTCCTTAAACAGAAACACACATAAAACAAACTTTTATACTGATTGATTAATGAAAATGTAACTGGAGCCTGGTAGGAAGCTAACTCTGTATTTCCCCCATGTGCAATGGTTCAGTATTACCCAGTTCAGTGTTTGTGGTGACTTTATTGGACATAACTACCACAAATTGGTGACTGGATTAGTTAGAATATAAGTTTCACTGCTGTAATGAAAGCTAACATAATATCTACTTAAAATAGAAGTTATTTTCTTTTCCTATAAATGTATAATTGAAAATAATCTGGGTCTGATGCAGTGACTCCAATGTCAGGGACCTAGTCTTCTAGTTCTTTTTTCACGTTCAGTAATATGGTTTCTATTCTGTGCTGTAAGGTGGCTGTTCCAGTCTGTGTCACCACATCTGCACTGCAGCCGTCAGGAAGCGGAGATGAGGAAGTAAATGGCATATCTTTCCTTTAAGGACACTTGCCAGAAGTTGTATGTAGTATTTCTCCTCACATACAGTTGGCCAGAATGTAGTCACATGGTTACATTCCCCAACTGCAGGGGAGGCTGGGGTATATAATCTTTAGCTGATTTAGCTGAGTGTCCATTTGCATGTCCAAATAATACGTAGGTGTTTTATTAAAAAGAAGAATGAAGAATGGTTATGTTGGGACAGTCATCAGTCTCAGCCCAGTAATAAATGACTCATCTGTAGTGCCTGAAGGGCCATTGGTCTGCCTATTGTTTAAGCCCTGAAAATTTTGATGATTAAAAATGAACTTCCAATCTGTTGGATTTCCTTTAATATAGGCATCAAAGAAGTTTACTCTGCTTCTCTTGCTTATTTTACCTACAAAATTTGCAAATTACATGTGTTTAAAAAGGGTTGAGGGACAAGACTAAGACACTCCCTTCCCATTCTTATTTGCTTCCCTCTGCCCATCTCCCCAACTCTGATTTCTTGGTAGACTCACCACTCTGGAGACTGGAGTGTAAATTCATGGCACACAGGCACTCTTCTTTAAAGGCCAGAGGGTCTTTAAGGCAGTGTTGAAGATAAGGAGGTTTTATTTGCCTTGCTATATTCTTAGCATGTGCTTATCTTTCTCCTGGGGAAGAATAATTGGAAGATTGGTGCTTTGGGCTGATAATCAAGCCTTAAATCAGATAACATTCAAACAAAACTAAAATACACCACAATAACTTTGTTTCTGAGATTTTAGAAACTCCTGAGATTTTTACTTTGCTTAACTCTCCGTTTCAAGATGGCAATTGGCTTGCTCAGAACTTCCCGCAAATGGGGAAATGTGTGGATATAGTGTTTCATATCAACTATGAAGATTTAAATACTTGGTCATGCTTTATGGATTGTGTAGCAGCTTTGTAACTTTTGTGTATTTTATAAATGATAATATTTCCTGGACATTTATGGTGTTTTATTTAGGTGACACTTTAATCTTTCTTTGGATTTCCCATAAGCTTCCAGTGTAAGATGATGTTTTGTGCTAAAATAGTGATTTGCAAGTTAAATAGTAGTAAATGGGTTGGTTATAATTGACTTCTGTACTGTGGTGTGGATGCATCCTCCTCAGACAGGTGGGAGCAGAAACCTGGGTGTAGATACCGGCATTAACTCAGCGTTTTCATAGATCTTGTTTACCCTGAAAAAGAGTTGTCCATTTTGTTGAAGAATCAAGCCTGGAAGAAGTTTAAACACCCGAAGCGGATTTTTACTTTGCTGCTAATGTTAGTTAATCCATTTTTCTGGGTAATTTTTTTGTCTTAAGCTGGACTCTTCTGTAGTCTTTGCAGTTTTTTGTAGTCATCGCATTTTATTCATTTTGTTATTGTCAGTGTTGGCACCTGTCTTTCTGTAATTATAGCTGGGATAAATAACCAATGGTTGTCAAGTTTATAGTCCCTTACATTTATCTTATCTTGATTATCAGTTCGGCAGTGGGTGGTAGGAAAGCAAGATCTGTTACCTTGTCTCTGCCTGAGGTGGTTAGTATACTTTAACACAAGGCCACTTTTATTTGTATTTTTCTCTAATGCAAGTGGCCTTCATTTACCTTTTGAACACCTTATTTACCTGCTTATTTTTCCCTACTATTCGATTCACATTTGAAAAAAAATTATGGTTTTCTCTAGTCTTAATTGTAGTAATAGTTTATGTTTGTACAAATTATATGTATTTTTAAAATTTGTCTTTACATATTTTTGTTCATTTATCACAATAACCTAAAGAAAGCAGTTAGTGAATGTTATAATTTCTAAGTATCCATAAATATTTTTGAACTTCTGTTATCATCATGTATAGCTAGTAATAATTTGCTTTTCCCTTACAATTTTCAAAGTACTTCCATTACTATTATCGTATACTTAAGTACTCAATAATAATAGTTGATCCCATAGGGAACTAAGTAAGTTTTCCTTTGTTCTTTTAGGTTCTATGGCTAGTGCCTGAAATTAAGTTGACAAAGATCAACAATAGAAAAGGCATATATATTTTATTTGATGATATTTTAGTGTGTCATATGCACAGAGGGCTTCACAGAAAGAAGTGAAGACCCAAAGAAGTGGTTAGATGCTGGGGGTTTATTTATATATAGGTGCTTTTAACAAAGGGTAATAAATTGTGGAGAAGTGACAATATAATGGAAAAGGGGTTTGGGCTCCTAAGGGTAGTAAGTTGTGGGAAGGTAAATATATGCTGGAAACTAGTGAAAGCTAAGGATTACTTAGTAAGGTTTGTAAAGACCCATCTCAGTGCTGACTTTCTGTCTTCAGTGATAAGGGTTGTTCTCTGCTATAGGAGAAGGTGAGGCAATACCTTCACAAAGAGAAACTTATGTCCTGCTTCTAGGGAGAGGGAAAAGAGTTCTCTCTGTGTTTGCTGCTTCTCAATTGGTTCAGGTCAAAATAAATCCTTATGCCAAAGTGGCATATTTTGGTATGATTCCCTTTAGTACAAAATTCAGAAAATAAAAACATTGGTGATAATTCTATGATCATAATAACCATTGTCATCTAGTATCTCCTTTTAAATAAGACAATTTAATTTCTCCTTAGCAGGTGTGGAAATGTGTTGGGATCTTGCAAATGTATGGTTTTTTGATTATAGGTGAGAGTATATTAGTTTGTAAGAACTCTGATAAATCAAAAGGCATAGCTCTGCTTCAGGGATCTCTAAAACCTGTTTGTAGCTGTCTGCAAAGAGGAGAAGGAGAAGTAACTGCAAGCATGATAAGAGCTATTCTGGAGGTAAGAGAATTCACTAAATTATTACCATCTGCTCTTTTGTGCCTGTAATTCAGTGGTTGAACTTACGTATGTGAAAAGTCTTAGCTTTACATTTTTCTGAGATTTTGTGTAGCCTTCCTAAGTCTGAATTCTTTTTACTTTATATAGTTATTTCCTGGAGTTTAATACAGCTAATGCTATATCAGTCCATTTCACAAGAGAAGATTAAAACCCAAATGCCAGATGGTTCTTTTTATTTTTTAGATATTCTTTATTATTCTCTGAAATTAAAAAAAGTGACAAAAATGGACCCAGTTCTTCCATCCAGATAATACCTGTTGACATTAAAATAAAATCAAATTGCAAATATGCATGATTAGAAGTTTCAAACAATATGGAATTATCTAAGGTGAAAAATAAAACCTGCTCAGAGTCCTCAAAGGTAACCCCTTTTAAGTGTTTCATGTATTCATCCAGGAAACTTCTATTCATATACCAGCATACCTTGCTATCAGTTTCAGTACTGGTGATGGGGTCCTGGTACCTGTACTCATACTCTTTTTCCCCCCTTTAGCTCTCAGTTTGAAAAACAAAGGAAGGGCTCTTATATACTGCTGGAACTCATTTGGAGGGCAGTTTAGCCATACCTACTAAGATTTAAAAAAAAAATTGCACATAGCTATTAATGTAGCAGGTTCACATCTAGGAATTTTACCTAGGGATGTATTTGTGATATCACCTCAAATTAAATTTATAAGAATGTTCATTACAGTTCTATTGGTAATAAGAAAAAGCTGGGAACAACTAAAATATCATTGGTAGTAAATAAATCTTGATAAAACAATGCTTTGTGGTCATTAAAAAGAGTGAGGTGGCTCTGTTTAGGATGATTTGGTATGTTTCCAACATACATTAAATGAAAGAAGAGAGCAGGCAAATTGGTGTGTTTAATAGAATAGTTGGCAGAAAATGATAATCCAGGAGACACAACTGACTTCATCTTTTTATACATCTTTTCCCACTCCTCTTTTGAGTGGGAAGTATACAATATTAGCTTTCTTATATGCCCACATATTTCAGAAGAAAGGGTGAGAATTGGTTTGGTTCATGACCATGAGCCATCAATACCTCCTTTATATATGTTGTTGGCTCCCACATTTCAGATAGATAATCTATCATTTATCTTCACTAGGGAGAAAATGTTGTATCTACTTCTAAGGAAAACTTATGTTTGTAAGTAGATCTTATCTACATTTATAATGAGTGATGATGGAAGAGCTAATAAAGAGCCTATGTTAATATGTTGAGAATACTTTATCAACTCCATTTCTTTTATATATTCTTTTCTTTTACATCATAAGGGCCTATATTTCCTATTAAAAGTTACAGAAAATTTCACTAATTTTTTTATCATGATGGCCTATGTGTCCTGTTAAAAGTACATAAAATTTCAAACCTCTTGTATCAGATAATAGTTGGTGGAGTGGCTAGTACATCAGAAGATATGAAGACTTATGCTTCTTGCACATTTTTGGCTGCAAGTATGAAAGAAAGGAAGCAGGGAATTCAGAAAAATCAAGATTCTATTCAACTTGGAGCGATTGAGGCCTGTGTGATGTGGTTGCTAGAAAATGAATTCATCCAGATTACTGAAAGTAGTGATGGAACTGAAGGTAGGTATGACTTATTAGTTGCAATTTGCTCACTTTTTCATCTTTATTGACTTAGAGTGTGTAGATTCTTAGTAAAAGGAAATTGACTTTTCAGACAATGTAAAAGGAAACTGATTTTTAAAGCAATGTACTGACTCATTTTTAGTAAGTCTGTGTTACGTTCAACATCAGACAACTAGCATAGAGCCTGCTTATAAATATCCAGGCATTGGGCAAATTCTATTTGTAAAATTCATTAGAGTCTAAAAGGTATATCACAGAATGCAGAAATATAGTATTTTGTTTTATTTTATTTTTAACATTTGGTCCTTTACTCCGTATCCCCCAAACCAGGAAGAGTGTATCAACCAACACATCTTGGTTTGGCAACTCTTTCTTCTTCACTTTCTCCGACTGATACTTTAGATATTTTTGCTGACCTCCAAAGAGCAATGAAGGGTTTTGTTTTAGAGAATGATCTGCATATTGTCTATCTGGTAAGTTCTGTTTCTGCCACTATTAGATTTGTGAAGGTGGGGAGAAAATGCGTATATATAATACTGAACATCAAAGATACACTAAGGGAACATCTCGTCTGTTTTCCTTAACTGGGGTAGTAATGAAGGGTTACTTCATTATGGGAATAGAGAAGAAGGGTAAAGAGAGAGTTGTTTTAAAGTAATAAATTACATGTTCTAGTGACCTTTTAAAGTATTTGCCTATTACTTATTTTTCTCTAACCTCCTTTCAAGAAAGATTTCAGGCATTTTTTTATTTTATCAAATGTGCATCATGGTGTTTCAACAGCCCCCTTCCCCCTCCCCGCCACCCTCCCTTCCCTCGTTTAGTAACCACTATTCACTTCTCAGTGTCTGTGAGTTTAATGCTGTTTTGTTCCTTCTGTTTGCTCTGTTTTTATACTCCACAAATAAGTAAAATCATATGGTATTTGTCCATTTCTTCTAAGTTGTACAATTTATTGGCATATAATTTTTCACAGTATTCTCTAATAATTCTTTGTATTTCTGTGGTATCTGTTGTGATTATTCCTTCTTTGTTTCTGATTCTGTTTATGTGTGAACACTTTTTTTCTTGATAAGTCTGGCAAGGGGTTTATCTATTTTGTTTATTTTCTCAAAGAACCAGCTCCTGGTTTCACTGATTCTTTTTTCTACTGTTTCATTCTTCTCTATTTTATTTATTTCTGTTGTGATCTTTATTATGTCCTTCCTTCTACTGACTATGGGTTTCATTTGTTCTTTTTCTAGTTTCTTTAATTGTGATTTTAGGTTGTTCTTTGGGGATTGCTCTTGTTTCTTGATGTAAGCCTGTATTGCTATGTACTTTCCTCTTAGAACTGCCTTTGTCATGTCCTACAGATTTTGAGCTGTTATGTTGTTGTTTTCATTTGTTTCCATGTATTACTTGATTTCTGTTTCAATTTGTTCATTGATCCACTGGTTATTTAAAAACATGTTATTTAACCTCCATGTGTTTGTAAGTCTTTTTGTTTTCTTCGTGGAATTTATTTTTAGTTTCATACCATTGTGGTCTGAGGAGCTGTTTGATGCAATTTCAGTCTTTCTGAATTTATTGAGGCTCTTCATGTGGCCTAGTATGTGATCTATTCTGGAGAATGTTCCAGGTACACTTGAAAAAATATGTAACCTGCTGCTTTTGGATGGAGTGTTCTGTAGATATCTGTTAGGTCCATTTGATCTAATGTGTTATTCAGTGCCTCTGTTTCCTTATTTATTTTCTGTCTGGCTGATCTGTCAGTTGATGTGAGTGGTGTGTTAAAGTCTCCTAAAATGAATGTATTGCAATCTATTTCCTCCTTTAATTTTGTTAGTATTTGTTTTACATATGTAAGTGCTCCTGTGTTGGGTACATAGACATTTATAATGGTTATATTGTCTTGTTGGACTGACCCCTTTATCATTACATAATGTCCTTCTTTGTCTCTTATTACTTTGTTTTGAAGTCTATTTTGTCTGATACAAGTACTGCTACTACTGCTTTTTTCTCCCTATGATTTGCATGGAATATCTTTTTCCATCCCTTCACTTTTAGTCTATGTATGTCTTTGGGTTTGAAATGAGTCTCTTGTAGGCAGAGTATAGATGGGTCTTGTTTCCTTATCCATTTTGCCACTCTATGTCTTTTGATTGGTGCATTCAGCCCATTTACATTTAAGGTGATTATTGATAGATAGGTACTTATTGCCATTTTATTAATTGTTTTCTGTTTTTTTTTTTTATCTCCTCTCTGTTCCCGTCTTCCTCTTTTATATTCCTCTCTTGTTATTGGTGGTTTTGTTTAGTGTAGTATTTGGATTTCTCTCTCTTTTTAAAATTTAATTATTTTTGTTTGTGTATTTATTGTAGGCTTTAGTTTTGTAGTGTCCAAGGGTTCAGTGATAGGTTCTTTACTATATAATAATCTATCTTAAATTGCTGATTACTCTATTTCAAACACAATCTGAAGGTACTTTTTTTCTTTCTTTGTCTTGCTCCTCAACATTTTTATATTAGATGCCATAATCTGTACTTTTTGTGTATCCCTAGACTGATTTTGTATGTAGTTGGTTTTGCTTCTTTTGTTTTGTTTTAATTTTGTACTTGCTTGGTAATTAGTTGGTCTACTACCTTTACTATGGGTTTATTTTCACTGGTGAAAGCTATTTGGCCTTAGGTCATTTCCATTTACAGCAGTCTCTGTAACATATCATGTAAGACTGGATTAGTGGTGGCAAATTCCTTCAACTTTTGTTTATCTGGAAATTACTAAATACCTGCTTCAAATTTAAATGATAATCTCTCAGGGTAGAGGATTCTTGGTTGGAGGTCCTTCTGTTTTAGTACATTAAATGTATCATGCCACTCTCTCTTGGCCTGAAGAATTTCCTTTGTGAGAAGTCTGCTGATATTCAGGTGTTTTTAAAAATTTTATAACATATAAGAGAACAGAAAAGTACAGTGACATATCAGGAAATTAAAGATAAGACCATAATGTAAAACTTAAGCAAAGGTTGGTACATAAACATGCATACCATTACTCATAAAGTCATATACAGTTGCTGTGGCCAGCTTTGGTTCTGGGCTTTCTGGCAACTACAGCAATGAGGGCAGCTTGATTAATCTCAATATTCATATGATAAAGAACAAAAAAATAGAAAGCATTACATTTTATTGGCTAAGAGAAATTTAGTCCTTAAAAGACACTTAGGACTTGTATTTTTAATAAAATCTTTTTAACAAATGCAATAAGTAATTTAAAAAGTGTACATTAGACAATCTTTTATAAGCGTTTTTTATCACAAAGATTTTGGTAAGAATTGGATAAAATGGAATTAGAGATCATATTCTCTTGCAAGAACCTGGCCAGAAATACTTTATTTTGTTAATTAAGAGTAGATGTGTGGAGTGGTATAAACAAGATGGCAAAATAGAATGCCCATTGCTATAGTCTCCATCAAAAAAATACAGACTAGCAACTATTCACAGGCAAGAAAAACTTTCTAAAAATCTCAGAACTTGGTGGTGATGTTGAAACACTCTCTTAGGGCACAAAAACTGAGAAAAGCTGTGTTAGAAGGCTAAGAGCAGCGGTTTCACTTGGGCTGCATTGCCCCTCCCCGAAACCAGCACAATGCCACACTGAGAGGGATATACTTTCTCCAGTGGGTAAGAGAGCCCAAAATAGACATCTAGCTTCCCTGAATTTCAGAGCATTCCCTAGAAAGCACACTCCTACATCACCTCACAGAGAACACCGAGGGACTTGGCATGGCTAGACCACCTGGAGTCATCTAGGAACAAAGAAAGGGGGTGGACCTTATAGTGACCAGTGTGTACAGCACAATGGTGGCCCTGCATCTCTCCTAGCTTCCTAGCTTCCAATCAGAGAGTCCTGCCATCGGATTGATGGTCCCATCTGGCCAGGAAGCAGGGTGAACAGTTCTGCTCACCTGGGGTCCCAAACCAGTGGACTGGCTGCAGAGCCCAGTCTGCTGCCCTAGTCTCGCAGGGAGCCAGTCAGCAGCTCCACACAACTGCAGAGATCAGGCTGAGGTCCTGCCTGACCAAAGAATCTGACTGCAGACCACATCCTAGAGTCCTGTGTAATAACAGAGTTCATTCTGCAGCCCTACGCAACCATGGAGCACAGCTGCTGGCCACAGCTGAACAGTCTAGCTAATGCACACTCAGCCAGAGAGTACATTCTGTGGTCTCACCTGACCAGAGAGTTCAAGCAGCAGCCACACCTAACCATGGAATTCAGCCAGTGAACCCACCTGACTGGGAACCCAGCCAGCAACCCCATCTATCCAGAGAGCCTTCTAGCAGTCTCACCTGACCAGGCAGCCCAGGCAGTGGTCCTGCCTGAATGCAAAGCTGAGCCAGTGGCCCCGCACAACCAGAGACCCTGGCAGCAAGCCCTGCCTACTCTACTGTGGGCACTACTATCTGACCCTTTAAGAATTTCTACTATCTGGCCTTTTAAGAAGGTCTTTTCTGCTGAAGGAAATCTGTAAAGACTGGAAGAGGTGACTGCTTCTTCAAATGTGTAGACACTGGCACAAAGATATAGGATAATGGAGAATTGGAAACATGATGCCACCAAAGAAATGATTAAAACTCCAATAACCAAACCTAAAGAAATTGAGATCTATGAACTGACTGACCAAGAGTTCAGAATGATATGCTTAATGAAGTGAACTACAAGGAAACAGATAAGTAACTAAACAAAATGGGTAAATAAATACATGAACATAATGAGGAGTTCAACAAAGAAATAGAAACCATTAAAAAAAAATCCAGAGCTGTAGAATACAATTACTGATCTGAAAAATTCAGTAGACAGCTTCAAAAGCAGACTTGATCATGCAGAAGAATCAGTGAAGATTGGTCATTTGAAATTATACATTCAGAAGAGCTAAAAAGAAAAAGAGTGGAAAAAGCCTAGAAGACTTATTGGACACTGTCAAGCAAAACATTATTGAATGCAGGATGGAAAAGAGAGAAAAGGGCAGAAGGGCTATTTAAGGAAATAATGGCTAAAAACACCCCAAACGTGGGGAGAGAAATGAACTTCTTAGGTAGATGAAGCTAAAGAGACCATAAACAGATACAAAGAGGACTTCACTGTCACAATGATCAAACTGTCAAAAATCAAAGAATCATAGATTTTGAAAGAAGCAAGAAAAAAGATGCTCATCATATACAAGGGAACCCTCATAAGGCTATTATATTTCTCAGCAGAAATTTTGCAGACTTGTAGAGAATGGTATGAAATATTGAAAATATTGAAAGAAAAAAATGCCAATCAAGAATACTATACCTGGTGGTGCTGCCTTCAGAAATGAAGGAGAGGTAGATTTTCCCAAGGAAACAAAAGTTAAGGAAGTTCATCACCACTAAAAATGTTATAGGGAGTCTTCAAGTTGAAATGAAAGGATGCTACTTAACAATGTAAAAACTTGTATGTATAAAAC